AAAATAAAAAAAACGTTTTTTTGGGGATTAAAAAAAAAAAAAAAAAAAAAAAAAGAATGGTTTTGATTCTTCGTACCAAGAATCATTTGGTTCTGGTTCAAGTTTGGTTCTAGTTCTAGAACCGAGAAGCAAACCAAGAACCAAACTTAATTTATAATTTTATTTTTATATGAATCTAATCTTATATTAATTGAAGCCAGTCCAATAGCCATTATTTTTGTACAACCCATTAAGGGTATTGCTCCAAATTCAAACCCTCAAAAGTCCCAAACACTGCCCTGCATATCCATCAGACGAAGCAGTGGACTATTAAACGATTAATGATTTTCCGGATAGTAAGGGCTAAGTTTCTATTATGAAACTTAAATATCAACTTTTGGCAAAGAAGCATTCGTTTATATTTCGTCTGTCAGTTTGAACTTTTGAAATCTTGATGATTGATAATTTGAACTTGTTAAATGTTTGATGCTTATATTTTTTATTTAAGTATATATTACTAACTTAGAGATATGACGTAAGTCTGAAAAATTAAGTAATAGAACTAGAATCGGGCCAAACCAAACCAAAATCGAATGGATCGGATCGGTTTGGTTCCATACCTTTAAAAAAAATCATTTGATTCTATTATCAAGAAAGCCATTGGTTTATGGTTTGGTTCAGTTCTCTTAGAACCAGAACCAAATGGAACCATGTCCATCCCTATTTTTAACTAATACCAAGTTAAAATATTTCAATAGATGGGTTTACTAATTTGAAGGGCTTAACCACTTAAACAGTTGTTTTGTGTTAAAAAGTGCATATGTTTAATGTTTCAAATCCTTTAAATTCCTCCAATGTCTCTGTTGCATTTAATCTCCTTAAAAATATGACTTTGGTTAATAAGCTCCTTGTAAATCAACTTGCAAATATATTGTATAAAACTTCTTGCTCTCTTAGAAGTTCTCCTTTATTATACTCCTATCTTTTCTTTTCTCGCATCTAAAAATTCTCTCTTTTTTTATTTATCACTATTATTGCTCCTTTTTAAGATAGGACAATCCTATGTTTACTCGAGAACATCTTTAACAATGGCTACGGATAAGTACAAGCTCAAAGGGGCACCATTTCGAACACCTTTCACAGTGCCCATCACATAAGTAAAAGTTTGAAACATCATAATATTGTATCATACTCACTCAAATATTAAGTAATAAATATTTTAGTTCTTTAATATCATGTAGTTCTGTAAAATTATAAATTTATGAGAGAGTCGGGACTGAAATTTTACATTAGGTTTCAACAAAAAATATATATGTGTGTGTGTGTGTGTGTGTGTATTAATATGCTGGGGCAAGGATTTTTTATTTATACCTTGAGGTTATTAATTTAGAATAGATTAATTTAAAGGTGTTTTTATGAAGTTCGCACATGTATTATGTCGGCCTAATATTTCCTCCTATAGAACCTTTTTTCTTGATGTAGAGAGAAAATAAAAAGTTATGATACCAGAAAACAGATTGTAATCTATTGAAGATCTCAGAATATGGATGCTGATTTTATTATTTATTTGTTACCTTATGTACCGGTTTTATTGGAGACAACATATAGATTTTCCTTATTTGTAGATTTAGTATATATTTGAGGTTGGTAGGTTTTCTAGTCCTATAAAAAGGTTGTACACGGCTGAAGCTAAAATAAAAATAAAAGTTCTTGTCTTATGTGGTCTAATCCTTCCAGTGTTTTCCCCAGTTTCATGGTATCAGAACTGAGGGTTACTTGAATGTTGGAATGGAAAAATTGGCCATGACTGGTGCACGAGAGAAGGGGATTCGAGGACCTCCACAGCCACCTCGGAACCTATCTCTACAAGTGCACCCATGACATCGAACTCCCTCCCCATGACTGTCCTCTTTGGAAACACTCCTCTTCAACTCACTACCACACAGCTAAACAGCAAGAATTTTCTCCAGTGGTCTAGATCTGCCCTTATGGTTATACATGGTCGTGGACGCTTTGGGTATGTGACTGGAACTGTAACAAAGCCAGATGAAAGAAACCCAGCCTATGCAACTTGGGATACACAAAATTCTATGGTTATGGCTTGGATTTTGAATTCAATGGAGGAAGAAATTAGAGAATCTTATTTATATTATTCAACAGTAAAAGAGCTTTGGAATGCACTCACCGTTGCCTTCTTAGACTTGGAGAATTCAGCCCAATTATTTGAACTTCAAAACAAGGTAAGAAATTTACTGCAAGGAGAGTTGATGTCACACAGTATTATAATTCCCTGCAACGGCTTTGGCGAGAAATTGACATGTTTGTCCAAATAGATTGTGACACGGCCAAGGATGCTGAAAAATACAAGAAACGGGCAGAAAAGGAAAGAATTTATGATTTCTTGGCTGGTTTGGTTCCAGAACTGGATGAGGTTTGAGGCAAGTTATTGGGCATCAAACCAACCACGACAATTGACAAGATTTTTGCTGAAGTACTCCGTGAAGCCAGCCGAAAATGTGTCATGCTTGGAGACTTGAAGCACCCTTCGTTGGAAAATTCGACACTAACTGCCCGTGGACAAGAACCAGCCCATATGACCAAGAAAATTAATGGCTCATGGTGCGAGCACTGCAAGAGGGCCAACCATTCCATAGACAGGTGTTTGGTCCTACATGGGAGACCACTGAACAGGAAGCAGGCGACTTGGAATGATGGGAGGTCAACCCAATTACATCGAGATGAAAATCTAACGCACTCGGGTTTCCAGAGCACCACCGAACCGCCACGCTTCTGCCCAGTCCAATAATATCTCTCTCTCACTAACCAAATCACAACTTGAGCAGTTATACAGACTTATCACTCTCGCAGGACCACCCTCCGGTTCATTGGCTGAAAAACGTAACTATATATCGGCATTGACTAGCAGGAGCAATGTAAAACTGTGGGTAATTGACTCGGGTGCCACGGATCATATAACGGGATGTGAAAAATTGTTTCTCTTACTCACATTGCCCTGGACGTTTTAAAGTAAAAATAGCTTATGGGTCACTCTCGCTGGTTGTCGAAATTGGAACTATTAGACTCAGTCCACATATTGAATTGAAATCTATTTTACAAGCCTGAACCTTTCTTGCCATCTTTTTTCTATTAGCAGATTAACTAAAGATGTGCAGTGTAGTGTCAACTTTACTGAATCGCTTTGTATTTTTCAGGATCTGACTTCGGGGAGGAGGATTGGCAATGCTAAGGAACGTAAGGGATTATACTATTTTCTGGAGGATGCCTATCAGAATAAACAAGCTCAAATAGCAAGTTGTAAATCTATCCCTAGAGAACAAGAAATAATGTTATGGCATTGCCGTTTAGGTCATCCTAGTTTTTCATATCTTAAACATTTATTTCCATCATTGTTTTGCAATAAAGATATTTTTCATTGTGATATTTGTCAACTGGTTAAACATTTTCCTTTTTCATTTCAGTCTCATGATCATAAATCCCCGTCACCTTTTACTTTAATACATAGCGATTTGTGGGGACCTTTTAGGATTAGGAGTATTTCAGGCAAACGTTGGTTCATAACTTTTACAGATGATCACACTAGAGTATCTTGGGTATATCTCCTAAAAGATAAGTCCGAAACTACACAAACCTTTAAAAACTTTTATTCTATTATCTAAACCCAGTTTAATGCAAAAATAAAAGTTTTTCGAACTGATATTGGGCAGGAGTACTTTAATCATGTGTTGGGAAATTTTCTCATTGAAAAAGGGATCTTACATCAAAGTTCATGTGTTATGACCCCTTAACAAAATGGAATTGCTAAAAGGAAAAATCGAAACCTCCTTGAAACAGCTAGAGCTCTTATGTTTACTAGTAGGGTTCTAAAAAAATTTCGAGGAGATGCAGTTCTCACTGCATGCTACCCAATAAACAAAATGCCTACTGGGATACATAACTTCTCGACTCCATTAACAGTTATGTCAAATGTATACCCCCAATTTCAATCAATACTTTCTATTCCCCTAAAGGTATCTGGTTGTACTGTCTTGACTCATATCCATGATCATGAACATACCAAGTTTGGCCCTAAAGCTAGAAAATGTGTTTTCTTAGGATACTCTTCAACCCAAAAGGGTTACAAGTGTTATTCTCCGACTACTCATAAGTACTATATATCTACAGATGTTACTTTCTTTGAATCCCTTCCCTATTTTTTCCAAAATTTCCCTCAAGGGGAGGAACACAATAGTGATGGCAACGGGAATTTTTGGGAAATCACACCACCCATACCACCAGTAGAACAATCAAAATCTCCCATATTCCCACCAACTTCATCCACTGATCATTCAACCCCTAATGACCCACAACAGGTTGATCTCCAACATACTGATTCCCTTAATCAGCCAAGTTTAATCATAGGGGGAGACAAACAACTTCCAATAACACCTGAGCTACGTGTTTATTCCAGGAGGAAAAATCCTGAGACAGTAGAACATCTCACAGTTCAACAGCAGAACCATGAATCCGATCCAAACTCAGGTAATTTGTCTATTCCACAAAATGATTCTACTAATGATTTGGATGTTCCAATTGCACTCAGAAAGGGAGTTAAAACTTGTACGCAACATCCTATCTCCAACTTCATTGGATACACTCATCTTTCCACATCATTTCAAGCTCTCGCTACAAATCTGTCATTAATTGAGATTCCAAAATCTATTCACGAAGCCCTGTTGATTCCGAAATGGAGAAAGGCAATTGAGGAAAAAATGTTAGCCTTGAATGAGAATAAAACATAGCAGATTGTGGAAAAGCCAAAAGACAAGTCAACTGTTGGGTGTAAGTGGGTTTTTCAGTTAAATACAAGTCAGATGGATCAATAGAACGCTATAAAGCCAGATTAGTAGCAAGGGATACTCTCAGACTTATGGAGTTGATTACCAGGAAACCTTTGCTCTAGTTGCAAAATTAAACATAGTGAGCGTTCTTTTATCATTAGCAGCAAAATCTAGATTGGAAACTTCAACAACTGGACGTCAAAAATGTTTTTCTGAATGGTGACCTAGAAGAAGAAGTATATATGGAACTTCCACCCGAGTTTGATGAAATCAAATGTATAGGGAAAGGCTTGTAAGCTAGAAAAATCGTTATATGGGCTAAAACAATCTTTATAGCATGGTTTGGGAGGTTCATGAAAGCTGTGTGCCAACAAGGGTATACCAATTTGATCACACTATGTTCTATAGGAGCTCGAAAGGAAAAATTACCATCCTAATTGTCTACGTGGATGATATAGTTCTGACTGGTGATAACTATGAAGAAATGGAGAGACTGAAGAAAGCTTCGTCAGCCGAGTTTGAGATCAAGCATCTAGGTCCTTTATGATACTTTCTGGGTCTGGGGGTTGCAAGAAATAGGAGTGGTATCTCCATTTTAAAGAGAAAATATATCTTTTATCTTTTAGGAGAAACATGTATGGTAGGAAGTAAGCCAGCAGATGTTCCTATAAATCCTAATCATAAGCTAGGGGATTGCTTAGAAAGCACACCGGTTGATAAGGGACGATATCAGCGTCTAGTAGGAAAGCTCATTTACCTTTCTCATGCTAGACCTGACATTGCTTTTGCAATGAGTGTTGTAAGTCAATTTATGCATGCTCCATTTCTGGAGCATATGGAAGTGGTTTATCAAATCTTGAGATATTTATAAGGGACTCATGGTCTTGGACTCTTTTTCAGAAAGAATTCTGAAAGATCTATTGAAACCTACACCGATGCTGATTGGGCAGGATTAGTGATGGACAGAAGATCCACAACTGGTTATTGTACCCTCGTGTGGGGAAATTTGGTAACTTGGAGAAGTAAGAAGCAACCAGTGGTGGCCAGGAGCAACGCTAAAGCATAATTTAGAGCTTTGACACATGGAATTTGTAAATAATGTGTTTAAAGTTACTGTTGGATGAATTTGGTATTCAGGGAAGTAAGCTAATGAAAGTTTATTGTGATAACAAGGCAGCCATTGCAATGTCACATAATCCTGTCCATCATGACAGGACTAAACATGTTGAAGTTGACAGATATTTTATTAAAGAGAAGATAGAAAATGGAACAATATGCATGACATACTTGCCCTCATCAGAACATGTAGCAGACTTATTGACAAAGGGGTTGTTTAAACTCATATTTGAAAGAATGGACAAGCTGGGATTATTTAACTTGTATTATCCAACTTGAAGGGGAGTGTTGAAACTAAAATAACAATAAAAGTTCTTGTCTTGTGTGGTCTATTCCTTCCAGTGTTTTCCCTGGTTTCATAATCCTTCTTGGTTATAGTGAAACCGTGCAGTGATAAGTAAACGTGGCTCTCACGTTGAAGGTGAGCTATATAATTCTTGTCTTCTTCCTTTCTTTCGATTTCTCTGTTTCGTATTATTAGTTTTTTTCTCGTACTACAGGATTGAGCATTTAATCCATAACATATATGAAAATTAACTTTGATAAAATTTCAGTTCATAATCCTTGGAGCAAGTTTTCTGTTACCTTAGTTAATCTGAAATCTAATGTTTTTTAGTCCTAGTCCTGTGTTCAAGCCAAGGACCGCCTATTGAAGAATGTATGGTTAAAAATGAGTTTTGAAAAAATGAGTTTTTGGAAAAATGGGGCTCAAATAAGGGCATAATTTTATTGTTTAGGCACTCCATTCAATAAAACCCAAGTAATGCTTGTAAGACAATGAAATGGTACTTTTATGATAAAGATACCAAATAGGCACTGCTCATAACGACCAAAAGCATGGCGCATTTGGCAACAACAAAAAGCTGCAATTTACAAACTTTTGCTATTTGGCGCATTTGCGCGCTAAGTTAACAGATGCTAGCCATTGCAAATTTAAACCATTACTCAAGTCTTTTAATTCAATAGGTTTCTTGTCATTTCAAACGTGACTTTAAAGGACTTCTCTCTCTAATGATTTATATTCTCCTTGTGCTGAAAATTTCAACTTCTACCCAAGAAACTAAGAAATTCATAAATTAATGAATTGTAATAATTATAGATTTTTATAGAATGAAAAATCGAGATAATGCAAGAAACCACCTCCTAATTAGATTAGATTAAGCAAGAATAACAGTAAATAGAAATACTGGCAGAACTTGCCTTAACTGAGAGTGAAAGTGACAATGCCACAGCCCCTCGCAGACCAGACCAGACCAGAATGATAGCTTCTTTCCAATCCAGCCCATAGCCAAAATATTGCAGAAATGGAAATAATACACCAACTACAACTAATCGGGATACTTGGACGAACAGGTAAAGGAGTAAGAGATAACCCCAAGAGTGTTCTGAGGACATAACAAAGTGAGAAGAAAATTTAACTAAGACATAAGACAAACAAATATGTGACATGTTGATGAGAAGAGAATATCAAGTTAATTGAAGGTAGACAGGATGAGTGGAGAATCAAATAGAGTTTATAAGAGTCCAAAAGACTCTTAAGAAACTAAGCTGCCAATAATAATTTAGTATGGCTACACCCTGTTTATACAGTAGTCTTGAGTTGACTTCTGTGCTTTAAGAAAATGAATAAATCTTTACACAACAAATCTAATAGAGTACATTTATCTTGTGGTGAAATTAACATTTGAAACATGCAAAAACTACATACTTCTTTTAGGAAGTAGAATTAAGAAATAGATTGAGAAGGGTGAATTTTGATTTATTTCTTTCCATAATTATTAGGTTTATATTAGAAAATTTTCCACTTCTGCTACTTCAGTAACTTGCATTTTTAATAGGAATTTTAAGTTAAAATAAAAGAAATATTTTTCAATAATCTAGACTATTGATTAAGTACTCAATAACATTATAATTATCTTCTCCACATATACTCTCTCTCTCTCTCTCTCTTCTTTTGTAGCTTGTTTCTCCCATATCCCGCGCCAATTGCTATTAGAGCCTAGTCATTACTCTGGCCAAATCCCTGTTAAAAGCTGCAATTACCACTATTATTTGTAAAATCATAGTATTGTTTGCCCAAAGATAAAGGTCTTGTATTGATCGAAGGGAAAAAAGAGTGGTATTGTTTGTAAGAAAAAGACATTAAAAATGAGTATTAGGTGTCGTTACTCCATCAAAAAGATTTGAGTCTGTTTATCAGCATAAATAATTTCTGTAGTGGCCTAACCAAACCCATCTTCAGCAACCTAATCGACAAACAAAAAAGCCCAGAAATGATATAACACCAGACAACTCAACAACCCATCTACAAACCAACCTAATAAAAAGTCACACCATTCCTACGGGCTAACAGGGACGCATCCTCAAAGCAAATAGCAATAAACCTAACCCCTACATTTCAAACAACTTGACCCAATACCATAACCAAATTTTATATAGATTCATCACTCACTCAACTTACACATATAGCAACACTAGAAAACTTGAAATGAGCTTTTTAGAATGTGGGAAGCCTGGGAGACAATTGTAGAATCACAAAGGTGAATCTGCATTAAACATGATAAGGATTGAAAGTATATCTTATAATGTTAATGCATAAAACTATGTGAGGTCTTGTTCTCTACACTGATGGATAAAGCAATCAGGCCTTTATCTTTTTGGAGTGATTGGCCACTTCCACAATGTGATTCAGTACATAGGTCCACGAGTTGTATAGAAAAAAATTTAAAATTATCTGAGCATTCAAAGGAGCCAAAGTTAGTTAGAATTATTCTAGAGTCAAGTTACGATTGAGTTCCATGTAATTGTGTGAATTTTACCAGCCCGTTGCTATGTAAATCTCTATGCTGTGCTCTCTCTTTTTCTCATCTACTTTCTTAGTCATAAATCTGTGAACACACTGATATGCTGAACTATGTTTTATCCTTTCATCACTGTAAGAATCATTGTACAGGCAAAATTGCTCCAACCTTAGATCATTGGTCCCTGCCTGATATGATAATTCTCAGATCACCTATGATGTGGATATAGAAACTGGTCCAGAATAGGAATTTCACCCAAAAAAATCTCCTATACAATTCCCTAATCAAACCCAGCTATGTGCCAACCATTTGGTCATACAAAAAATATTACCAAAACTTGACAATCCAACCTTGAAAAATTTCATCCCTACTTTTCTAATTTTGTCCCACATCACAAAGATAGAATTGTGAATTATTAAAGTAACCAAATAAGTGTTTCATGCTCTCAGTTTGGTCACTGTATACAGAATTGTTATAAAACATATGCAAAGCCATTTAATTTAGTAACTATGCAACCACATTGATTACCCAAAAAACTATATGCCTAAAACATATGAATGGGATAACAAAATATAAAGCTTTCAGGAAAAAGATCCATAATAAAGTTGACATGTAGAAGTAACATAAGTCGTGTTGTGTGATTGGGTAGAAGAAATTTTAAAAGAAAATTTACCATAGGTTTTGAATATGCTGTCACTTTGGAGAACACCTTCAGCTATAACTACTCCACTGCAAAGATAAAAAGGCAAATAGGCTGACTTAACTCAAATTGAAAACATAAATGTGTCGATACAATGAAAAAACAACTATTCCTGAAAGTCTGGCTTGAGTAAACCGCAAATTCTCTTCTTTATTTTTTGTTACTTTGACCCCAGGGGGTGGGGGCGCATTGTGAAATATTGTAAGCTTATGAACTTTTGTAATGCTTCTTAGCTATGAAAACGTAGTAAAAACAAATAATGCTTTTGCCTGCTTATGTAGGACAATAAAATTCAGCATTGGGTATGGACTTGGAAAATTTAGTAAAGATGTTTAATTAGTACTGAAACCATTGTTGAATGAGTAATGCTATTTATCATTATGATGATGGAATATCGGTGATGTGACAACCCATTATCCATCACCTTTCTCTATCTCTTGAGATCATGCCCCCTTCCCCTCTTTATCATAAAAATTGAACTATCAAATCCCATTATTCCACATAGATTGCCACATCCCCAATGATCCATCATCATAATGATAAATAGCATTATTCTTGTTGAATTCCCATTTTGAAAATTTTATATTACATGGACACCATTTTACCAATATTTTAAAAGAAAATGTTATAAAATGTCAGTAGTTTCTCTTATCCACATATCACAGAATTTGGCAAAGATGACTCCAACATTTGGGCACATCCACATTGTAAGCCTGTACTTAAAAATAATCACAAACAAGAATGCTACGACATGCAAACTTTTGAGTGCATATTTATATGAGGATTTCTTGTTAGGTTTGGGTTTGTAAGCATGTAACTCTTACCTTAAGATGAAGATTAAGGTATTAGCAATGTAAGCAACCATTTCCCTGAAATGAGAACCCATCATAAAATTGATCCGACAAGAAGATAATCAATATAATGTTGATAAACGAAGGAGAAAGATACTGCTAAATGTAGTTATTGATGAGAAAACGACAATATCCATAATGCGCAAAGCACTACATTTTAGCAGTGCTCTAAAAAACGTAAAGCATGACGAAGCACGAAGGCAAAGCTTCGGCCTAGATGCACCTAGGCGAGGCCTAGGAGTAAAAAGGCGTAAATTGTGTTTTTTTATTTTAATATTATTTTACATTTTTAAATCAATCTAAATTATTTAATAATTAAAGGAAAAAAGCATTAAAAAGTGTAAAAGCATAAGAAAGCGCGCCAAAGGGGGGAAAAATAAAACTAAAAAATGCAGAAAAATAACATGAATAAGCGCAAGGCGGTGCATTTTACGCCGGCTTCTCGCCTAGGCGGCTTTAGAACACTGCATTTTAGACGTATCAAAATAATCACCATTAAAGATTTTGAATCATGAAATGTTTTAACAGTCCATGAAATAAAGGAAATGTTATGTTTTGTATACCTCCTTATTTCTTGATCTATGACAAATCTACCAAATTTTTAAACCATCAGGCCATTTTAAGAATTGAATGTATTTAATTCATCATAAGGCTCCAACAAACAGGACAAGCTTTTTAATACATTGTAGCTCATTTTACAGGTCACTTTATGCAGTGAGCCTTTTTTCTTCTTGAAGTGCACTAGTATAGAATTTTTACATTCAAGCGCTAAAAATTTGTGAAAACCTTTTTACAACATTAATTATAACAAAGCCAATTGGACCACATCAGCAGAAAATGTTGGCACACATATCATGTAATGGTGAAGTATAGCAACCCTCGAGTTACCTTTGCCAATCTATGCAAAAGTGCCAATTAGACCAGTTAAGCCTCTATTTATAGAGGGTTAATGCATTGAATAAACAAATAAACAAAGAACTCCCCCCCCCCCCCCCCCCCCCCCCCCCCCCCTTTTTTTTTTCCCCCTTTTCCCTCCCCCCCCACTCCTTTCTCTTTCTTTTCCCCCTCTTTCCCCTTCTACAATTCTAGTTCTTGTCACGATCGTCCATCCTCACTTTGAGCTTACAAATATATGTTTACATTATGGTAAGGCGAGGTATACCCATGGATTGAGAAGACTCCGCCATGGCCATCATAGTGGAGGACTATGTGTTATGGTTTACATTGCAAGGTATGGAACTTGAATCTCACATCGTAAGTATGAGCTTTTCGGTGCGTAGTTTATATAGACTTGGGCTCTCCAACTTTAACGGCTAGCTTTTGAAATAAGGCTCTCCCAAGATTTATATCATTGGTATCAGAGCAGGCACCATGTCTCCTGGTTGCAATCGAACGGCGCAGATGGTGACGCCAGCATAACAGTGTTTGTCCAAGACTAATCATTAGCTAGTGCAAAGCCAATCCGACATGAGAGCAGGATCGTGCAGTGGTAGATTGTTACGGTTCCCATTACAAAGTATGGGACTTGAATCCCACATCAAAAGTATGGGCTTTCGGTGTGTGGTTTATATAGATGTCGGCTCTCAAATTTCAACAACTAGCTTTTGAGGTCTGGCTCTCCCAAGATTTATATTACCATGAAATGTCCAATTTCTTGTTCACCATATTATTGATTGTCAATATTCTCTCACATCAACACTTTCACATATATATCTTGCATGGAACAAAGTAGCGGACTATTTAGTCAATGAAGAAGTGACATTCTCAATGTACAAAGGATTTGTTTGATAAGTGTAGAAGATAAAAATATCCCTTATGTGCATGGATATTTTATTTGAGCATGGATAGCTTTTATAATTCTTTTTCTATATAAGCAATTATTTTTTCTTTTTTTCTCTATTTCTTTTCTTGTAAATGAAGTAGTACTTCCTTATTCATTTCTTTCCATCATCACTCTTATCTCTTCTCTTTATGTATTGTCTAGAGGTAAGACTAGAACGTCCCGTCTCTGTTGTACTTCGGTTCTTTCTATTAAACAAGGTCAGTGAGATTTTGATGCATTAATCTTCTTTAGATTTGTTGAATATTTCCTCAGATAGTTGAATTTCTATACTAACTATAATTAAGCTGATTATAACTGTAACTAAATTATTTGTAATTTCTTTCCTAAAATAGTTTTCTTCCGAGAACAGATTGCTCTGCATGCCTTATAAATTCACCCTTACTTACAATTGTTTATATATGAAAGAAAATACCGTTTCTACAAGATTAAATTAGCTGCTGAACTTCTTGCGCTTCGCTAAAATTAGGTCTCTTCAAAAATTGCACAAAAGGGGAAATAACAACATTATATTCTCTTGTTCTAGTTTATGATCCACTCCGAATTCCCAACCAGTTCAACTCAGTTTCCAGAAGTCGTGTTTAGCTTAGAATTCAAGACCCTGTATTTCTGAGTTAATTGGTACCGATATTTATAACTCAGAGTCCAACTGAAATCTGAAATTATGATGCTTTCATTTGTTTCTAAGATGGGTATTCCAGCAAAAACAACCAAACAATTTTTTAGCAACTATACATATTTGCACAAGTAATGTTTGTATTTTATCTGAACAGCCTTAACCATTTATCTCATTTTTTCAACCATTGAATTAGCATCCAAAACCATTTGACTCTATAATTTCTCATTCTCAATCTGGGAAATCCAGCACATTGCCTGTCATTTTATGACCAGCGCAAAATTTCTTTGCCTCCAACCATTAACCCCATAATCTAGAAATCTCTCCACTCTCCTAAATTTCAAAATTTTGAGGACCTCTTCACTCATTTATTGTGATAACTCTCTAACTTGCAGTGCTAGATACTTACTATACCTGAACTCATTTGTTCCAAAGATTTAACTCTAGCAACAGAACACCCTACTAAAGGTACTTCCGAGGTCATACAAGTAGCTTCTAACTTTGTTCATATGAGCATTCTAGCCCATTTATTTGGTCCAAATGTTGCACGGACGGTTTTCACTTTGACTTGACTGAAGATGATGCGAGTTAGGATTAATTTTATCAGATGACCATCGCATGTTCTAGTAGGTACTGGTTGTTGCTGTAAAATTACATCAAAAGTCATGAGATAAAGCTCCATTTCACCACTGATCAAACTGACCATTTGGTGTTAAGATTGATGTGTGAACTAAGGCAGCAACTAACTTCTCTAAGGTTTCACAAGACTGGTGATGCAAAGTGCTAAAACTTGATTATCCTGACCTGTTTGGTGTATCTTAAGACTTGGGAATGTTCTTTGTGCTCCTTTCATCCAGTAAATTTAGATTTTATTATGTTATCACATAAACAGGAAATGAAACTCCAGGTGAATGTCCCTGAACAGGATTTGTTAAGCTCATTATGAGAAGTGATATCCAAACATGCAGCATCACTCCTAAAATTGGAATTGAGTGGAGAAATACCAAAAATGATGCAAGCTTCCCTGACTTTCACCCTTAAAGGCAGTCCGAGCAACAGCAGAGTAGAACCTGTCCATGCACAATTATATCAGGAGCTGGTTTCTGCATATAGTAGAAAATCTATCACAAAAGTCATTGTACTTACATTCCTAAAGTCATGACTGTCAAGACACCAGAAACTTCAGCCCCTTCTTGAGCCTGTGACATATATTGGCCTCAGTTCTCATATAAAAGGAAAGGACAAAAATAAATCACTAAATGGTTTGTGTCCTGCTATAGGAAAAATTTATATGCAATATGCTACATTGCTTGGGAAGAGATCAACCATTCACAGAATCTTCAATCTTTTTAGATAAAAACTAAAGAACAAAACTTAGAAATTTGCAGTTGACTACGGCTTTATAGTCAATACACAGCTAACTATAAGAATCCTTTCATCCTACAGCAGTAGCAAGAGAGAATGAAATCAACAAGGTCATTCTGAAACTAAGGAAATGAATTTACAAATGGCAGAAAGGAGTTAGAGGATTTTAAAAGAAAATGCTCCCACAAGTTGAATTGTGGTAATTATGATAATTACGAAAATAACGTAGAATAATAAAAGGTACAGAAAATGATAACTCACATTTTATTCCATCATACTAAATTGGACTGTGGATTACAATTTTTTTTTTTTTTTTAAACAAAACATCAATATAGTCTGAGTGGGTTTTCAGGCACCACCAGGGAAGGATGATAGGATTATGATTCCCCAACCTTATATATAAAATCAAATGCAAGAGAACAAGAAGGGGGACATACAGCTAACCTCCCGAAAGCGAATAAATGCAACAAATGAAGGCAAGTAATAAGAGGGGAAATACTACTTCCGATACAAAAATAGTAAGTGAGAAACAGGCTATCGTTCCCTAATAGTGGGAAGTCCATGTCTATCAACCTGCACAAGAGCCCGAGTTCCTTGTGGTAGGTCAGGTGGTCCATACTCCTGCTTGCACTGGTCCCATCCCTCAGATGCAAATGAATCGATGACTTGGTTCTCCTCACGATAAGTGTGAGAAATAGTATCACGGTCAAATCTGAGAATATGTTTGATCTGACTTAGAATGTTCTGAATAGCCCATGGTCCTCCATCCCTAGTGATGCAATGATGGGCCACAGATGAGTCTGACTTTACCCAAATATCTATAATTCAAGTCGTGGAGCAAGCGAAATCCCATCCAAGATAGATAGTAACTTAGCCTCCAAGATAAGGCAGACTCCATATAATGATACGAACGCCCTAACGCACTGTCCATCCTGATCACCAATAATTGCCCCCATCATTAGCAAATCCATCCTTGGTGGATCCATCGGTGTTGATCTTGTGAGATCCCATCGTTGAAATACACCAAAAAATCAATATAGGGTGTGCAGAGGAAGGAAGATTAAGAGAAACGCCAAGAGATGAGGCGATAGTCGAGTCCCTACGCTAATAAGTAGGCCAAAATAAGCGACCGATATGAAGAAGTGAAACCATGCGATAAACTCGCCAAATGGTCCATCTAGACTCCATACATATCTCACTATACTTTGCATCGTTCCTTGCAAGCCATATAAACAAGGGGATGATGGTGCGAACATGACCCTTTCGAACAAACTGGCTCGAATATCTCCATCTTTGGAATCGAGATCTAACTTCCTCACCTAATCTCATAGTACCTTAAATATATCCCCAAAATGATCCCATAAGTGATCAGAAATGGTGTTGAATGTAAAATATGTGAACTAGTCTCGATCTCCGAGCAACACTGACACCAGGAGGTCATATGACAGCCAATCCTCCTCTGAATGGCCATGTCAACCTATATCAACCAGAAGAAGAAAGAAATTATGGTAGGTATATTGGAGCTCCACACCACAAGATATGAATCCTAAGACCGCAGACAAGCTCCAAGCTAACTTAGTAGCAAAACTACCATTCGATGTATTCCACCAAAAAATCCAATAAGGGGTATTAGCCCATAAAGGAATAGCTCCAATCTGCTCAACCATAGATGAAGTACTTATAATAATCGTCCAATGTCCCATCCTGAGCCATCATAAAAATTATATACCCCTGCAAGAGAGTGCGACCTGTGTAGGAATAAAGCCGCTAAAGTAGTCTTGCCCATACAACAATCATGCCAAAAATATATGTTCTACTCCAAAGTGCCAGAAAATATGTAGCTTGGTTTATGGTCTAACTAACTTCAACCTCCAAATAGGTGAAGCTAAATATGGAATAGAAGCAAAAAGAGAGTGAGTCCCAATACAGTACTTGCCCAATAAGAACTGAGCCCACAACGATATCTATGACGAAAAACCACCATAGCTTCAAGGAAAAAGTATCAGTAATGTCAAACAATCTCTTGAAGCCTACCNNNGCGCCCCCCCCCCCCCAATATGGAGACAGAGATCATCCCATTTTCAACAATGTAATCTTAGAGCCTGATCCTAAGAATCCCAAAGGAATCGCACAAAAATACTCTCCAATTTCTTCATACAACCTCCATCTGAAGAAGGTAAAGTAGTATGTACGAAAGGTAATAGTCGAAAAGCCCATCTAGATATTCAACTCTTAACCTTCTAAACAAGGTCACCATATTATAAAACTGACTTTGCCCCTTTATATAAAGGGCCTCATTTAAGTGAATGGCTATTGTTGGTGCTCGAAGCCCGTCAAATGCTCCAATCCCTGATCTTGCTAATGGATGCCTTACGAGGCATTATAAGACCACTCTTATCTCTACTCACCAACTGACTAGAAACACTCCCGTAATACTCCACGTAATCGAGTAACTTCCGAATAGACTGCTTATGGTCATTGGTGAATATAATCACATCATTAGCAAAAGAGATGTGAGGCAAGAGTACTACTTCCATACTGACAGCCCATAAAGGGTAAGCCTGGAACTGTTGCATGAGTAGTCGAGAGAAGTAGTCAGTAGTATTGATAAAGAGAGATGGCAAGATGGGATCACTCAACATTGTGTGGATTGGTAAATAAGTTTTCCTACCATCCTCTAATAGCTTTCCTTGTTCAGTGTAACACCTGATTTTATCACCCAATTTTTTAATTTATTCAATTGGTGTGTCCACTGGTTTACTTTCAAGCATCCATATTTTCCTTAGGAGGTCTAAGGTATGTTTCTTTGGTCATAGAAAAGTTTTTATTTGATCTGGACACTTAATGCCTAAGCAATATCTTGAATTTTTAAGGGTTTTTTTTTTTTTTTCCAAACTTCTTGGCAAAAGAATCTTTAAATCGTTGTATCTTTCTTTCATTAGAATGATTCATGTTCATGTCATGAAAGCACTTGTAACCCTTTTAGGGCCTTAGGGTATAGTTTGGTCACAGTATGGCTGTGGTCATAACCAAATGCGTACTAACTATTAGGGAAACTTGCCTAGATCTTTGGTCTGGAAATATTTTTGTAGAAACTGTTTCAATCGAGCAATCCCATTTGCATCATCACCAGTTATTACAATATCATCTACATAAACTACAAGGATAATATGACCTGCACCAGTTTGTAGATGAAATACTGAATAATCTGTTTGACACCTTTGAAGACCAAATTTTAGACCAACCTCAGAAAACTTTCCAAACCATTTCCTCGGTGATTGCTTTAACCCATATAAAGCCTTTTTCAACTTACATAGTTCTGGTAATGTTAGGAGAAGGAGAAGTATTGCCTGAGCCTGCAACACTAGTTTGGGAACCGTTAGCCAGGGGGACACATGTGAAATGAATAACAAGATGATAATCGAGGAGAGAAGTAGACGAACCAGTCATGTGTTCTGTTGCACGAGAATTGATAATCCACGAATTGTGAAGGATTACAATAGACAATGAGAAGATAAAGTACCTGACTGAGTGAGTGTGGCTATAGAGGTGGAAGTAGCTTGTTTATGAGCTAAAAACTCAGCATACTCATCCTGTGGTACAACTAAGAGATCAGATCCTTGTGTTGAACTACAGTTAGTTACCGGTCCAGATATTGGGTGATGGTCCTCATTAGACGAGACCTTATTGGCAAAACCAGATGGTTTGCCATGTAAATCCCAACAATAATCAATGAAGTGACCTGTACGACCATAGTGAGTACATTTTCGAGGTTCAAGATTTCCCAAACGGCTACTGCTTCTAATATCTCGTCCACCTCTAGAGCTAACACCACGTCCACTTCGACCACTGTGTCCACCCCTAAATGAGTCACCCCTGGAAACAAAGGCAGAATGATCTCTATTAGGTGTATTATCGGAGAGAGTAGAGCGCTGAATACGAGAGAATGTCTCTGGGAGACTTGGAAGTTCTTTTCCCCCAGTATCTGTGCCCTGACAGCTTCAAATTTCGGTGGTTGACCAAGAAGAAATTTAACAACATCAATGTCTTCTCGCTGTTTTTCCATAATCTTCAAGTCAAGAGAGAGAAGTTGATGCATATTCCTTTCCTGACATACAGCCAATAGTTTATTATAATACTCAACAAGGCTGGAGGAGCCTTTCTCAAGCCCAAAATACTATTTGCAAGTCTCATAGATCCGAGTAATATTCCCAGTTCTAGAGTGTATATGTTTAAGCTGCTCCTAAATTTGCTTAGCAGTAGACATGTAGAGAGATGAAGACTCAATACTACTAATCATAAGTCCAATGATTGCGTTATCTTCTTGATCCCACTGATCGTTGAGATTAGAATCGGTCTTTACAGATTCACCTCCTGATGATTTGGCAGACGACTTGTCTAAAATCAAGTGATTATATAAACATTTACCTCGCAAGAAGACTTCGACACACCTAGCCCAATAAGTATAATTTCTTTCATTCAATTTTTCGGTTCCATGGGTCCAATCAAATTGAATATCTCCATCTTGGATGACATAATTCTAACCCCACACACTAGTCCTTGAATCGTAGAGAATAAGACCAATTAACAATAACAGTCAACCAAAGAATCACAAATATGCCCACAATTAGAGTGACCAACCAAATAATATTAAATAAGGCACAAAAGAGGAGTCCAAAGAAATAAAATTATAAAGTAAACCCAACAAAATTACTAGAGCCCAATAGGATCTTCTTAACCACAGCCCAATTAGTCACTCCAAATCTATCAGTCTTTAATTAACAAAGTACAAGCCCAACTCACAGAAAACTCAACACCACCACCGACTTCAACAATTGAGAGTGCTGAATGGAGATTCACCAAGAAAATCCTAAAAATTCAAATCAATCCAACACAATTACCGACTAGAATTGCTAGAGACGAGTATGCGGACAAGAGGCGACACCGACCAAAAAACCAGACAAGTATGCAGACAAGAGGCGACACCGACCATAAAACCACTAGCAGCGGACAGGTAGTAGACAACTACAGGCGAAACAAAATCGAGCTGCTCCAACCAAGACCCAAACTCTAGACCCACTGAAAAATTTAACACCCAACCTCGATGACGCCAGAAGGTTCTGCACAGGGAACTAAGTGCGGCCTACCAGAAATTGTAGCAACCACCGAAAAATCATGCACTCAAGTAAGTGAATTTCCTGCTCCGATACCATGTAAACGTGTTTTGCATAAACTGAGAGGGAAAAATCTACTCTTCGTCTCCTCTCCCTTTTATTTATATAAAGAATCAATCATGTACATATATGGAAACTAAATATACCAAATAATATTCTTGCCTAATACACATTATTCCTAATTGATTTTCTTCAAAAATATTATTTACTAATAACTTTGAGTTTAAAATATATAATATTTTTAATAAAGAATGAAAAATGTTTATGGTAGAGTGTCCGAGGAGTGTCGATATCAACACGTGTCGAACTCGGACATGCTATCCTAATTGAAGTGTTCATACTATAGAGATGATAGCAACAGCACCTGTAATGAAATGTCATTGTCAAACATACATCAATGTTCTGCTGCATTGATTAACATAACTGCAGCTCATTCATGGTCTTGATAGTGGATTGCGACATTCATCCAAAAATACAGTGTTGATTGGTTTGCACACAATCGATCAGAAAGCTATACCTATTTGTAAATGAATATTGAACTATTTGTGAAATGAAGAATAAGGCTAGGGTAAGGCAGATTTTTAAACATTGAGAACTTCTAGAATTTACATCAATCTTTCTCAATAATAGAGGATTTTTTTATTTTTATTTTTTTTTTGGGGGGAGGGGGTGGGTGGGGGACAAGCAGGGGGTACAATTTTAAAATTCTGATTAATAATATTATCGAGTGAAAACCATTTTAAGTAATGTAATGTTATGTTGTACTATTTTATACAAGAAACCAAAAGTAATACAATACTCTAGGAGATGCATAACATTCAAACCGAAATCAGCTTTCTCGATCTACTTTTTTTTTTGGCGCTTTCTTCTCTCATCTAGTAGTGATTTCCATGTCCAAGAATGACCACAATTTACACGTATCAAAAGGTAAAATACAAGTGTTACTGAATAGGTATGCTAAAATTATATCCTGAATTCTAACACAAAATTTTTAGAGAAGTATGATAATGATTAAGGACTAGCTTGTACCAGAAAACACAAGGGGAAAAAGAGCACACAAGTCAAAGTCTAAGCTATGTAGAAGGATGGAAATATACTATCATCTACAGTAAAATATCTGACTTTATCCTTATCCATTCCTCCAACGGAATGCTGCAATACTGCCAAATCATGCAAATGAACTAGTAAAGCATTTTTGCAAATACTGGAAATGAAGCACATACTGGAAAGTGCATGGGAAGTTATTGAAAATCAATGGCCTGACAAAGTGAGGAAAGGGCAAAGGCAATAAAACCTGATAGACTGGTGTAGTTTTATTTCAGATAGTTTGAAAGCCTCATGTTCTTTTCTCCAAATTGATTAACAAATGTGGAGCTAATTCCAGATTTTGCTAAAATTTCTTTCTAACCCTTTTAAGTGTGAAGCTTCCACCAAGAATTGACCATCATTTCTTTAGAACCGAGAACAGCGGAAAATTAACTACTCGTCGATTTTGTTCCAATAATACATGAGATATGCTTAAGTCATAACGAGGAAGGCAGCGAACAAGACAACTACATTTTGGCTTTTCCCTCAATTAAATGCCTCTCTCGTTTTCACCACCTCTTAGAAGGAAGAAAATAAAAACTAGAAACCGAAAAGAGAATTCATGCAAATAACCTTTATCTGATGCACTTCCATCGAAAATGAACTCTCAAAAAGAAGTGCAGGAAGAAACACGGCCAAGAGAAGGTCAGGATCAATATTTGCCCCTACAAATGAACAAATGTCAAACCATTGTAATAGCTGATACTTGAAGAGATGAAAAAAAGTTCTAGACTAGAAATAGTTTACAATCAATTTTTATTTCTTCCTCTCCCTTTGCAATTAAATTATTCAGCCAAATAGAAATTAAACTTACAGATACGAATGCCGTCGCCAATCTTTCCCAATTTGTGACTTGTTCCGTATTCTACATAGAAGTACAATAAGAAATTAAGTAAATGTTATTCTTGATGAAGTTGTGTTTATATATGAAGCGTAACTAACTATTATGGTGATAATCAATCCTCTAATCTTCAAACATTATAAAGTCAAGTCAAGAATGCAATACATTTTCCAACTTTGGATATTAAAGAACAAGGAAGGCCCTTAAACTCTTTTCCTATTGAAATCCATAAGGATGATTAAAAAAATAAAAACTTGTATTTGTAATCGTTCTTTTGCTTCAAATATCCTATTTGTTTCTTTCTGCCCAGATCACCCAAAATATCCAAGTATCAAATAATTAACTTTTAAAAGAGAATTAATCATGGACCGATAGACATAAAAGCTAATAAATGCAAGCATATGGGTTTAGTTATGTAGTATGGATGAGAATTCAATGTATAACAATTAACAGGTCAGTTGTTTGTGAAAACTCAGGATCAAAAGGAAACCTTCCTTATTTCTTTATTTTTTTTCTTTGTTTATCTTCTTTGTAAATAACACCCCAGTGAAGCATCATCATGCCAATTCTTGGAGAGAAACAAATAAAAACTAAATTTCACATCTCATCTTTATCTTGCCATTGAAACAGTTAACTTCATATTTTTTTAGGTAGGGTGCTACTCCATGCGCATGATGTTATCAGGTCAGCATCCATTCATTTAAATCAGTAAGAGGATCATTTTTACTGAAATTAAGTGGGCCAGACCTCATCCATCCTCTGTGAATTTTTTTATCTATGCTCTGTTCCGGGAAAGTCTTGCTTTAACTCTCTAGTTAACCTAATAGAAATTGAAATTAAATCATTAATGTTTTTTGATCGTTGATCCTCATTTTTATGATGTGGGTAATAGTGTAGAAATTTTAATGGTATTTTCGATTCAATTTTAGTCATGTATCGATAACATTACATAGACTGGAGATTGAAGGATGACATCTATCTACTAAGAATCATGTTATTAGAGGATGAGTAGTATCAAAGTTATCCAGATTTTATTTATTTGCAAGAAGCATATTATCATTAGTGTTATTGTGAAAGACTTATTTCCCATTGTTTTTTCTCTGAATTTAAGATCAAAAAGTTTTAGGCAACAGTAAATTTATCAAAAATAAATAAAACAATTTTCTATACTTTGCTGATTTAGATTTATTTCACATGCAACATGAGCTCTCATACTAGTATGGTAAGAAAACATTCATTATTTACCTCAGAATGCAATAAAAGTTTCTTAAAGCAGAAAGAAAGAGAAAAAAGAAAAATGTAATAGAAAAGTCGAAGTACATCACTGAACTATATGCAGTTAGTTAATACACTCCTTTCCACGAAGGATGTCACACAACCTGTTTCACTGCATCAAATCAAGTGTATGCAGATCAAAATGCCCCTTGTTCTCTAAAGAGCACTTATACAAGGGGCATTATGAATTATGATGTCATATATACCATAAAATTCATAAATTTAGTGCTATATAACATTATCTGCAGAATAAGAGTATTCAGAGAATGTCATATAGTGCTCAATTTAAAGAAATTGGAAGCAAAATTGACTAAAAAATCAAGGATAAATTATAGTAGTACTACTTGGAGCATACCTGAAGCACCAAGCGGTGCTGTCTATTATAAATCCTTCTATTACAGGATGTTATTCAGATAAAGTTATTTAGCACTCAATTAAGGAATTGGAAGCAAATTCAAGTAAAAAAGAAACGCCGAGAAATCAAAACAACTTTGAGGCTGCCAAGTTAGAGCATACCTAGAGCACCAAGTCCAATGCCGAGAATAAGCAGGGCAACAGTGTAGGGAACACGAGTGCCCCTCAGCACGTGGCGACACGCAATTCCCAACACCAAGCTGATCCCGACGAATATCACTGCGTCTGTCGGATTGGATGCAGAAGTTGACTCCTCTTGCAAGATTCTCAAGGCCACCTGCCTCGTTTCGGATGTCAAAATCGAAGCCATTTCTCCGGCAAATGTATTCAGCCGCCGGATTATTACACTTCCAGTTCGATTACAATACAAACAGTAGATTAAGACGGAAGGAGGGAGAGGGAGGGGGAGAGTTTAGAGTGTTTGTGTGCGTTCGTGAAGAATACAAACAGACAAGTCAGACAGATAAATGGTCCCGTAAACAAAATTCGCCTCCTTTTTTTTTAACTACACTGAAACCAGTAATTATTCTTCTAAACATATGGCCCTGGATTTCCGGGGGCGCCACTTGGTCCATGCGGCCAGGCGCTCAGCCAACAAGGGGAACATGGGCTCGTGTCAGTCTAGCACCCGTCTAATATTCTTGGATTCATTGAAATGCATTCAAACACGTGGCAGATTTGAAAATGAAGTTTAAAATTGATTTGTCAAAATTTGTAAGTATTATGCTATTTCTATAAAGTGTGACCACAAATTTGATTGATAAAATATGTGTCGCCAAAATTTAGGCTATTGATTTTTAATAATTTAAAAGTCTATTTTTAAAATGATTGGTGTAGATATTACTTTATCAATCAACTTTGTACATATAACATAACTCAATTGGTAAAATGGAGACTATTTTCTTTGCTTTATTTTAATTTATTTCTCATATTGATTTTCAATCACATATTCATGTAATAAAATATTTTACAAGTAAACCCAAAAAATTTTCCTACTTTTTAATCATATATTCTCCAAAAAATACTATTCAAAATATAATTTTTTTGAAATAAAGGCCACAAAACAGGGTTAACTTTATTTACAAATTACAAAAAAAAAAAAAAAAAGGTGAGTTATAATAATTAATTATTTTTTTAGGGGAAAAAAGTAATTAAAGGGTTGTTTTAATAAAAATTGGTCAAAGTGGTAGGTCTCAAGAAATGTATAGTTAAAATTAATTGTTGACTTTAAAGTAACTTTTTAAGTTTTTCCAAACAAGTATTAAGTTTTATTTTAATAATAATGAAAGCTACTTCAAAAAAGAGAATTTGGTGCAAATGATCCTTAAACTCTGTCTTCAATGCGCAAAAAGGTTCTTAATGTTTATATGTGTTTTGGTGCGTGACTGGTATTTTTTCAAAAAATAATAAAATATCGGTATTTCCTTAATTTTAATTGGAAGAAATTGTATCTAGGTTTCTAACTTTCCAAAAAAGTACAAACGAGTCTCAGATTTTTATTTAATAATATTTAATTTAGCGTACTAAATATACATTAAAGTCATGTCAATTAAAATTTTTAGAAGACAAAATTAAAATAAAATTAAACTACCTTGCTATAAGTATATATGTAATTGCATTATGATATGAAGACCTTGAATAGAAATTATGATAACTAAATAACAAACTACTTACATAGTTTTACGATATTCAACTAATCTTATTGTGTTTTATTTAGCATTAAAATACTAATTAAAATTAATTTACATATTATATATTATTTTTATGTTGATGATTAAGAGAATAAATAATACATAATTTGTAAATTAACATATTTTGTGTTGTTTGTTTATTTAATACACTTAAAGCACGGTAATTTAACTCTTTTTTTATAAATAGTTCTTTAAAAAGAGTATAACTAAATAGAGGTTCGGGACTCATTTGTACATATTCTAAAGATAAAGGACCCGGCTGCTAATTTTATCATTAAAATTTATTATATATTTTTTTTCATAAACAAATGACAAATATCACGCCAAAACACATGGGTTAAGACCAAAAAATAAATGTTGGCCATTTATGCCAAATTCCCTCTTAAATTAACGTTGTAACTTAAAAGCGATCAAAATAAATTATCCAAACATGTTTGAAATTAAAGTGACTTAACTTAGAACATATTTTCATAAGCTTTAAAAAGATGCAAATACCTTTTCTAAAAAGTGAGACGGCTTTTAAAATTGCAAACTTTTATGCTTATAATTTCTTTAAAGAAAAACTGAACATATTAAAAAAAATAAAAATTACTTTATAATTATAAGCATATTTGAGTAATGAACCACAAAAAAAATATGAAAAATATCCTGTCGAAGATTTAAGCCTCTGTTTGAGCCATATTATTGTAAAAATTAGAATGAAAAATATAGACGTTATGGACCCCACACAAGAGATAAAAAGTGAAATACGATAACTTAATATGATGGATAACGGTCATTTTTTTTATTTTAATGAAAAAATAATGAGGTTCAAACAGGGCCTAAATGTTTTCATCCTATCATGCGTGGCCTGGCTGTAATGAACTACAATTCAAGTTCAGAGTTCTACTTGTACATCGTTCCCATCTTATTTTATATATTATTTTTTTTCCAAAATTTTTTAGTGTTTATACGGATTGATTCTTTGTGAATGAATAGTGATTTGCAAATGATTAAGCTGTTCTAATTATTAATTCACCGACACAAGTAATAAACCGCAATAATTTATTGGGTCTTGTCAATGAAAAAATTGGAAATGATCCGTCATTCATGATTTCCTTTAATTTATTTAAATGTTTCATTTCCTTGAATGTATAAATATATCACAAATAAATTAAATTCCAAATATAAATTCACCTTTAATCGACTGGGCTAATCCAACTAAGTAACATACAGATACATATACTTATATTTTTAAATTTTTTAAGTATTTGAAAGCAATACAAGTATGCAAAAACAAATAGAAAGTCAACTTTCATAATGCTCAATTTAAGCACAAAAGATAGTAGCAATAATTTTGCTCTCTGGGGCATAGTTCACTGGTACAAAAGACATGAGTGAGGTTATCTTACGTAGAGGTGGGCACGAGTCAGTTCAGTTCTCTTAGAACCAAATCGAAATTTTTGGGTATCTAGTAAATGGAACCATCGAGTTCAAATATAATTATGGAACCGTTCGGGTTCGGTTCGATTTCGTTCGGTTCTGTACTATAATTAATTTTTATAATATTTATAACAACATTATATAAATACAACTAATGACACATTCAATGGTTTTAGAATGTCATAGACTAGTAGACTACATTGTTTAAATGATCGCTACGATCAAAACTTCGATCGGCGAAGGTCACAATTTCGATCGACGATTGTATAGGTTTTGGAATGTCAGGGAGGCTACGAGAGTGAGTGCAAGAGTGGAAACAGCGTTATGCACTTTAGTGTATGTGTTTAGGGTTATTTAGTTGACTGGATCTTGTTGGGCTAATAAATGAAATAATAAAATGGGTAATTGGGCAAAAAATTAAAAAATTAGAAATGAAACAAATTATTAGACCAAAAATTTGGATTTAGAAATTGTTAATTTGTTTAGAAAAAATTAAAATAAAAATAATTTGATTTATTCAATATAAAAAAAATTAGAAAGATTCGGTTCTTGGTCTAGAATTGAGAACCGAACCGTACCCGTCGGTTCTCGATTCAAATACTCGTTCGGGTATTTAATTTGACAAGAATCGTCGGGTTCGGTTCAGTTCGGTTCAGGAGATTTGCCCAACCCTAATCTCACGCCTTGCTGACAGCCGCAGTGTGGGGGTTCGATTTTTGAGACATGGAATTGGACTCTTTGTAGGCGCAATGTACATATAGCTCTTATTCCCTAGTCTATTGGGGCACATCATCTAGGAACAGGACGGTGGGGCCCTCAAGATTGGAGTTCAACCTTCATTTTTTTTTTTTTTTTTTTTTTAATAATGAAACCCACAGCCGCTATCCTTCAGGTAAACGTTGGGTAAACTCTTGATCTGATGCAATAGCCTGTAAATCACGTCAGTCAGGTAAACCGTACTAGACAATCCCTATGCGACAGGCTCGATCAAGCAAGTATTGGTAGGGGGAATCGAACTCGTGATCAAAGGTTTCCGCGCTCACCTACTCCGTCAACTCGATCACCCCATATGAGGCTACTTTTCTTCTAATCTACCTCTCGACTAAAGGAGGTTCAACAAAATGAATCATGCAATAGGCCTTTTCATTTCTTAGGGAATGGAGGCGGCTCTTTCACTATCAATTGACAAGGTCGAAGTTACTCTATTTAATCAGTAGTCTGATTTGCTTGTTCATTAAATTTGTTATTGCATTTCATGTATGTGACGGCATGATGAATATTTAAGGTGCTGCAATAAGCAACCGACTAGTAATGCAATTTGGTGTCAAAATTATGAGAATTATGGTGCACAATTGATTTAGACAAAAATGAAATACCCCAGTCTTAGCCTAAGAATACCTCAAAGTTCAATAGAAAAAATATTTCCTTGAAGCACTTGATCAAACACCTTGCACTGAAAATAGTAACTAAGAATGTGTTTTAACTTGAGTAGTTGATTTAAAAGGTGGAGTGACGAAATTTTCGATGTCTAGACTAGTCACGGCATTCACCCATTCTTGAAGATTGATTACAATATTGTTTAAGTAAGGTATTGAGTGATCTAACTTATAATTGCAAAGCTATATGACCAATCTGATTCTTCAGTTTCTTGATAGAGGCTTGTGGATTTTGAAAAAAATTATTTTACTTTGCTGAAGTATTTTTATAGGTCTTTAGTATGTATTGCTGAAATATCTCCTTCAAAATTTGTCTTCTTTCATGTTAAGGATTAGTGAAATTTCTACTATTTTGATGGTTATTCCATGAAAAATTGGTGTGATTCCTTCAACCGAATTATAGGCAGCTAATATGGATTGTTTTGACGGTGGAAGGATTTTGAATATAATTGGCCTTTTGGAGATGCCAATAATATACACTTTTCAGTAAAATTATTCGACCCACAATTCTGACAGACCGATGTCTTATTGATTGTATTTACCATCGAGCCTATGTTGTGTTTTCACTGGGAGTTGGACTTGATTTGGTAGTAAGGTGTTGCTCCTACAAAGATTACTATATCTAATTATCGATTTAATTAAACCTAGATCCTATTTGCAATAAAATAAAATAATATGTGATGAAAAGATTTTTCTAAACTAATATTAATTAAAACTAATGAAGAACGTAGAAATTTAAAACTTAGGTTTTACTTTGTGGGTAAAAAGTGCTAGGGTCCACGATTTTCACCCGCAGTTATCTCTCTTAAATCCTATAATCAAGTTCTAACAATATTTAAACAAATGAATTCGGTCAAATTATTTTAAATTAATTGATTTAGAGTTCAAATCAATTCTACTTAACTGAATCAAATCATTATCCCCATG